GTGCATTTTTCGGGATGCATGGGCAGTTCTTGAACGGCTTCTGGTTGCTCTTCACTCCAAATGCGGCAATTTTGCTTATTTACGAAGCCATTCAACCAGAAATGAGCCTCATCGCTGAACAAAATTTGTCGAATTTGTTGTGTTCGAACCGAACACTGATTTTGGTAATAAAATTCAATGATTTGCAAGCGTTGCTCGTTAGTAAGTCTATTCATGATGAAATGTCAAAGCATACTGAGCATCTTTCTCTTTGACACCATGTCTGAAATCCCACGTGATCTGTCAAATACTAATGCATGAAAATCCTAACCTCAAAAAAATCACCCGTTATAAGGAGGTAATGATTAAAACATAACTGAAATAGCGTTTTTAGATGTTTGTTTAACATAGCTTTATTAAGAGTTCGCAATTAAAAAAAATATTTATAAGTTTCAAAAATTAAGTTTTGAAGTACAAATAATAACTTCTTGAATAAATTTTAGATAATAAAAAAATTGCAAAAATTTATGTATATAATGTTTTGTTTTTACGATTTTTAAATTTAAAAATTGCAAATTTTAGTTTTTAATTTTTTATAGAACAGCAAATATCTCTTTGAAACGAAATGAAAACATTTTATAACTATAATAAATATTTAGAAATAAATTTCAAATCCGGAAAATTTTGAAATTTTCTTTTTTAAATTAAAAAAAAAGCGGTTGTTTAAAACCTTGCAGAAAAAAAGAGGTATACTATTTGGAAATTGTGTCGGGAGCGCAGTATGTTGAATAATTTCCTACAGTACAATTTGTAGATCTAGCGCACAAAAAAAAAACAAAAACAAAAATAAATAATGGAGCAGTCGACCATTTGAAGTATATTTTTTTCCTAAATGGTTTGCTACTTTCATGCACTTGTTTCTTACAGGCGTTTAACTAATACATCCACGCTGTTAGGTGTTTTGGGACTGTTGCTTTTTGCGCGTTCATGTTTGCGATTTCACTTTCAAAGCATTTTCATCAGCAACGAATTGGAGAGCATAATAATAAAAAAAAAATAACAATACAAATGGTACAGTTGGAATGAATTTCATTATTACACCGTGCAACCAAAACAACAAATTTACCAAAACAGTTTTATATTTTTCACGTCAGGACTTTTTTCAAAGAACTTTGAATTTTAAAGATATGATTGATTCAAAAATTATTTAAAAAACGAGTGCAATGTAGGAAAAATATGGTACCAAATGAGAGAAAATTCTGTAGAATTTAAAAACAATAAAGTTTTTTTTTGGTTTAAAGACGAAAGGTATGAAAATGCGCTTTTAATAAATTTTATCTTTTTAAGTTAATAAAGTTTGCAGGACGAAATTCGATGATGAGGTCGTGCGTACATTAGTCCTCAAACGATAATTTTTCCAAAAAAAAAAATATTGCAAATTTTCAAGGATTTTTAAGCACAAAATATGTAAAGGACATTTTCCATACATATTCGGCCTTATGCAAAAAATTATTCTTTTATAATTCTACAGAATCTTTCTTTTATGTGATACCCTTATTGTTATCCCGCATTGCATCGAATTTTTTAAATAATTTTTTTAAATAAGTATATTTTTTAAATTTCAAAGTCCTTAAAAAAAATCCTGACGTCAAGAGAAAAATTAAGTACCAGTTTTACATTAATTTCCCCATAGTTTCGCGAATATATTCATTTTTTTGTGTGTGTAAAATTTACTGTCGCACGGTTTATTATTATTTGTCTACATAAATACATATTCACCGTACACTTTGGGTTTCTCTTAAACTGCGAGCAGTGCGTGTATGTATACAAGGCGTCCTTAAATGAAATTGGCAAAAAAGGACAAAATTACTTACACTCAATTTGTTGGTGAGAACTGAAATTAGGGTGATGTGTGCGAAGGTACACCAGAGCTTTATTGGTTTATTTATTTATTATGTTTGTTTTTTTTCTATGAAACTACTTTGTGAATGTGCTTTTGTGTTCATTCTTGCTGGACCCTCTGGAGGCTCAATAATACCAAAACGATCACATTACACTTATAGTTCAAATGATGGTCGAGGGTCAGTCACGGTTACGATGGGACGTTCAAAGCTTATTATAAGTAACTGTGCTGGTAATTGCGTGTTGTATGTATAACACACTTTTGTGTCCAAAAAAAAAAGAGAGCTGATACATGAAATGTGTATCGTGATATTAATAGTTTATATTGAATTTTAATGAAAAAAAAATATGAGTACTTTTAGTATAAATGTTTTTGCCTCGACATTAAATAGGTTAAACTCGACGTAAATAAATTTTTAGTAATTAAAAATTGGATGTAGTTTTTGCTAACGTGAAAACTGCACATAATTTGTGGTCTTTTAGAATTTGGACATTTTTTGTTGGTTATGTAAAACTGGTTTGAATCTTTTCCCTTTGAACCATAGAGAAAATATATTAGATAAAAGCTGGACATACAGGCGTATCAGTAAACTGAACCCTTTTATATGTTCATAACTTTATTCGTCCACATTTATATCTATTTTCAGATACATTAAAATCTGTAACATCAGTTTTAGGTGTCCGTTTTTAATTTGACCTCAAATTACATCGTTGTTTTAATAAAAAAAAAAATATATGTTAAATTTTTTAGTACGGATGAGGGAGTAACTTGAAATTAGAAAAAGTTGTAAATAACTAAAATTACTAGAAATTTATGTCCATTTTTGCTTTACAATAATGCCATCAGATCGGTTCGAATTCAAAAGCGGGCCGTCTTAAATTGGAAAGTTTTGTTTCTTGAAAAGGGTTGCCACCTGTTAGTATATTAAATTCGAATTAATTAATAAGCTAAATGATTATTAAAATATGGGTATAAATCGAAAGGTTTTGAAAAGGATTCGTTTCTAAATTATGCACATAATGTAGGGTTACCACCCCACAATATGGGCGTCCGACGAAAAAGGTTTTAGTTTGAAAATATTTTGGAGAGGGTTGCCACCTAATTGAAAGGACGAATTTCATTAAATTAGACGCGTGATATTGAAATACTAAATTGTCGGTGTAAACGAAAGGAGTGCCAAGGAGTCTTTAGTTTGAGTATTTAAAATAGTTTTGAGGTGTTTGAAAAGTGTTGCCACCTGTTAAAAGTTAAGTAAAAGTGATTTATTAAAAGATGGGTACCAAACGGGATTTCTAAATCATATGTAAGACGGTTGCCTCCTATTTAAAAAGCAAAATTCAAATAAATTCAGCAGTTAATTTAAATATATATCACAATGCCAGAAGTGAGAGATTTAAGAAGGTATGTATTTGTTTGAAAATAATTTTAAAGAGGGTTGCTACCTGACTGAAAAGGTCAATTTAAATAAATATACACAAGTTATGTGAGACATTTCAATATTGGTTTCAAACGACAAACATTTTTTTTTTTTTAAGTTTTAAAAAAGCTCTGGTTTAAAAGTATTTTTGATCTGGGTTGCCAGCCGTTATAAAAGTTAAATTTATTTTAAGAACACAGAATGAAACAAAATTACTAATTTGTAAATTTTTATGATGCAATTGGATTTGTTTTTATTCAAAGAAAAAGATCTCGCAATTTTTTTAAGTGTATCCTATTTTGTGCAATTTTTAACATGATTTTGTCGTTTTACCGCTGTACGAGTTTACTAGTTTCCTTTAGTTTACGAGAACACTTATCTTAAATAGTTAAATCATCGGTTCATGAGACGAATATGATATTAAAAAAGTGTCTGCATTTTTGGCAATGTTTAACAATCCACATTTTCATGGCCAAATTTAAGCAATCCGAGAGCAAAGTTCTCCATGAACGCCTGCCTGTCAATGCAACATTGGTCTGTCTACTCTACAATAAATCTAGCAGCATATTTCTGCAAGCGGTTTGGCTGAGATTTTTTGACCAGCAAGCAGTGACCTGTCAGCCAGTACAAATTGCGTAAACCTGTCTCCATTTGGGTTTCGTAAGTCATTATCCATGTACACACATACATATATCGTTCTGCCGTTGTTTTATGTCGTTGAGAGAGCCACAATCCGCTCTGATCAAATGGTACCACATTGAAATGTATCTCAGATTAAAACATCAAATTCAGTTTATTTGTTTACTGTGCTAATGTAGGCTTTCGTAACCAATAGTTCTACTTAGAAACTTGCTTTGTCTGACATTCCAGGTCCTCTTTAAAAAGGCTGCCCAAGCTGCAAGACTCCTAAGTGAGCTTGCCTTTACATATCTCTCGCTGGGCTGAAAGATAGATAGTCAACCTAGCTTCGATCCGTTCCCTGTTTAAAGAAACTACCTTGAGGCTGCATTGTCTACCAATTATTCAGCACTGCAGTTTTCTGCAATGTCGTTGTGTTCTATAGCGATCTAAATAAATGCTCCAATAAGGAAGTCATTTCATGTTTAATTTCGACCTAACTGTGTGTCTTTACCAAAAACTACACTTTTTTTAATTCTGATCAGTTTATATTAGTTTTCTTCGCTGCCATACTAATTTACTATATATTTAATTTTCTAAATATATCATTGTTCTTTCTTTTCAGCTAAATTCTTCTCACCCCTGCCAGTTTGAAGTGTAGACGAATAACGTACCCACTGCCCCATCATAGCAACCAACCTCGTTCCACAATGTCCCAAGCATCCACCAAAGAACTGCGCTTACCCAAACCAGCCGACGTTGAGGGCAGCGTGCATCACACTTCGGCCCATGATGACTATACCTCAGCGCAGGCGCAACTGAATCAAATCTACGCTGGCGCAATCTCAGGCGCTTTAACACGCTCCTTAACGCAACCGTTCGATGTATTGAAAATACGTTTTCAGCTGCAAGTCGAGCCGCTCTCAAAACACACGAAAAGCAAATACACCTCGCTATGGCAAGCCAGCAAATTAATCTATCACGAGGAGGGCTTGCGTGGACTCTTCAAAGGACACAATGCCGGCCAATTCATGAGCGTCGTCTACAGTGCCGGTCAATTCTGGTCCTATGAACAAATACGCGCTATTATGCGCGACACGCCCTTCATGTCGACGCACCACAACGTCATGAACTTCATCGCTGGCGGTGTTGCCGGCTGTGTGGCGACCATTTTCTCCATTCCCTTTGATGTGATACGCACACGCTTAGTGGCACAGGATCCGGGGCAGGGCTATCGCAATATGTTGCACGCCATACCGATTATTTGGCGCACCGAGGGCGTACGAGGCTACTTTCGCGGCCTGCATCCGACGCTGGTGCAGATTGTACCACTTGTGGGCTTCAATTTTATGTTCTACAAAAAATTCAATGAAATGATGGTGCACACACGCTTGGCCAAGGACGATTTGCTGCCCACCTGGGTATTGTTGTGCACCGGTGGTGCAGCTGGAGTGGCGTCCAAGGCGGTCGTCTATCCGTTGGACTTCATTAAGAAGCGATTGCAAGTGCAAGGATTCGAACACCATCGCACCAAATTTGGGCGGACGCAACGTTGTCATGGTGCTTTCCATTGCATACAGCTGACTATGAAAGAGGAGGGCGCCATGGGTTTCTACAAGGGCATGTATCCGACGCTGATCAAATCCGGTTTGATGACTGCCTTCTACTTTACCATCTATGATAGATGCAAATTACTACTCTACCGGTACTATAATCTCGGTGAAGGACGTACACCGTCCTCAAAGACATAAAGACATAGAGCATAAAGCGGTGGTGAAGTGTAGAAGTGGAGTAGATGATCGATGAGCTTTTGTTATTTATCAATTGGATCGGCTCGACTGAGGTGTATGTAAATTTGGCTGCGGTGTAACGCTGCAGATGAAGAGTATACACCTTTACTTACTTATCCATACCTCATTATTATATACTCTAAGAGCATAGAATATAGATTGGTTTAACGTTTAAGAGGCAAAAACCCCAAAAGAAACTGCTAATTGTATAAAATTGATTAACATTTAAGCGATAAAGATTGTGACTACCACAAAAGATATTGTGTTAAAAATACGCACACAAACATACATATTTAATTTTAAAAGAAAGAAGAAAAGAATGCTTAAGCAGGGATCACGATTTGCACATTCGTACCTTTTGGCAGTCACGGAATTGGTGTTGTCTCGAAAGTTTTATCGAGTATGATTTCAGTTCAATAAAAAAAAAATCCAAACAACCCCACTATGTAACTGCTGAAATGTACAAATTGTGTGATCCCTGCTTTACTTTGAGCGATTCTCAATATGTTCCCAATTATGTAAAAGTGCAGTATACCGCCAGTTTATTAGACGCATAGTGTTGCTTAATTAAATGATTATGAGTGTTCGTCGCTTTCTACGGATTATCACGATTTTGTCAAATCGCGTTCGTGCAGACCAAAAAGGCGAGAAGTGAGAAGAAGTGGCAAATTCTTTGCTGGAAAAATTTTCGCTGGCAAGAATTGCAAGCAGGAAATAATTTGATTACACATAAAATTGAGCGATTTACTAATGAAAAAGGTAAAAAAAAATATGTGTTTACTTAGCGAATTTAAGTAATTTCTATGCTTTGAAAGGTATTTGGCTGAAAAAGCTATATTCGCAATTGCAGCCATAGTACATATCGAGCCCTAACCGCCAAAATAACGTAAGCGACATTTTTTTTCAAAATTTTATTTTTGATGCAGAAATATTCCTAGAGCATCTAGATGCATTTCTGCATCAAAAATAAAATTTTGAGAAAAATGTCGCTTACGTTATTTTGGCGGTTAGGGCTCGATATAGTAGACCCGCTGGTCTCTACGACAAAAAAAAATTGAAATGTATTTCGACGAAAGCTCGAATAGGAGCAAATATGTGGCATTTTGAGAAAAAAAAAACACAACTTAAGTGACTTTAGAATGTTCGACTTTTGATTTAAAAAGAATAAGTTTTCCTTAAAATTTTTTTATTTTTATTTTTATTACGCTTCTATAAAAAGGCCACTTTTGAAACCACGCCTCTGGATAGCTAATCGTTAAAAAATTACTTGGAAACCTAATAAAATATTGCTTTAAAGAGAAAATGGCCTAACTCGAGATAATTGCTTTTATAAAAACGCCACATAAATAACAATTAATGCACTTGCTGCATTTTTCGATGAACATAACTGTTATCTCCATAAAAACTATGCCGACAATCTGCAGTTTACGGGCCAGTGCTGAGCTAACTTATAGTCTAATAGCCTTGCTCATAAAAACTAAAAAAGGTTTATAAATTGAAAACATCAATTTATAAAGCTTTTCGCACCTACTTTTTTTTATGAATAAGTCCATAAAAGTATTGAAGTATGAATTTGTAGGAAATCACTTACAGCAATGGAGATCGCTATTGATTTTACTTGCATAGTTTGACGAAATGAAACAAATGAATTTGAAGTCTAAACTATTTTTGCAAGGCTATTTCGATTGGTTATTTTTTATTTTTTATTTTTTGCCGAACTTACCCGTCGTCTTTTCGGTCACATCTACATATATGCGGCAATAAAAATTTGTTTAAAAATAATTCTACTCGAATTATAAAAATGTTAGCGGATTAATATATGAATACTTCTTTAGCCAAAGTTTAATGATTTTTGTAAGCTTAAATTTACTGACATTAGGCAGGTACGTTACTGTGACAGGAACTGAGTAGTAAAACAGGTTCCTTGCGATCAATAAAAGTTGTCTCTTCGATATACCATACTTTAAGATCCGACTGTAAATCATACATCTAACGAAAAATAACAAAAGGCTACCCCACGCTCTGCAAAAAGAAAAAGAATCGAAAAAGGCTTTGGATCGAAATACTTCCTTAGCAAGCGTTTAATGATTTTAGGCGACCTTTAATTTACTGATCAGCAGGCAATGGCAAACCTCCGATTGTATACCGCCATGAAAAACAGCTTCTCATAAAAATACAATCATCGTTCGGAGCCGGCGTAAAACTGTAGGTCACTCCCATTTGCTTGACAACAACTAGCCGCACGCCATAAATCGGAGCAGAAGCTGGGCCAAAACCTCACATACTTTGTAAGCGCCAATTTGTTGTTATAGGGTGGTACGTTAGGGTTCGAACAAAAAAAAAGTAAAACGGCAAAGAAACGACGAAAAGTTTAAAAAAGCGATCTACATACTTTCGGCCAATTTTTTTTTTCGAAATTGCATTTCAAAAATACTTTAGACTCAGGGGTGTCGACGAACTCTCTTTTCGGTATGATCTAGTGTACACACATATAGATATATTGGACTTAAAATTAAATTAAGTATTTAGTAAACTTCCAATATTTAAAATTTTTGGTGAAGTTTGGCTCAAATTAAATACCTATTATATTTTTTTGGTTAAATACCTATTATTTTTTCAATATTACGCTCTCCGGTATTGCCTTAATAAATAATTCTCCATCAGTATACATAAATATTTGCATACAGTTTCGGCAAAATAAATACGGATGTGACATTTTAAAAAGTTTTAGCTTTTTTTCTTTTCTTTATTATTTTTTTATGAAAATATAGCTCTGTCTAACAAAATCAATGCAATACCAAATTTCAAACGTTGCAGTAAAACTAGAAATTTTAAGAATATGTATTTAGAAAATATTTTGGTATGCAGTTTAGTAGCCCATTAAATTGTAGTATAATAAAGTTCAAGTTTGAATTAGGTACTGGTAAACGAAATATGTTCGACAATGTTTTCGTATTGAGGAAAAAAAAAACAAAAACAACGGTAAATCCTATTGCGCTACAAAACAGCATACCTAAAATTTTAATAATAGTTTTTTAATTTCGACGCTAATTTGTTGAATTTCTTCGAGTCTTTATAAATCATGTATAAAGTTTGAAATTTTTACTTACATAGTTTTTGGTAGTGAACTATAGTTTCATAAAAAATATTGGATATAAAATAAACAACATAAAAGTAGCCAAAACTTGTTAAAGTGTCGTGTCCCTATTTATTTGCCCGCCACCTTCCATACTGGTATGTATATACATGTGCACTTCTATTTCTCTTCTATTTCTTCTAGAATTTCTCAAAAACTATCAATTTTTTATTTGCTCAAATATAACATATGTAAATGCATTATCTCTCTTGCTTTGCGCTGCTTAAAAACTAACTATACACTGCCAGAAAAAAATTAATAAACCCAATAAGTTTTGATATGTATTTGGTTTTTTTTTTATTATAATTTAAGTTTGGCCCAATATTATTTCTACTTCCTCCAATATGCTTAAAGACATTTCCGCGTATTCGCGCATGAGAGTTAAAACAATTTTCTAAATTTAAGTTTCGGAAAAAAAATGTTTTATCTTTTATGTCAAAAGAGACAAGTAAATAGACGCTTGGTGCTTAAATACTACATTTATAGCCTGCTTAAGATATTGAATGCATACATATTCAAATACATAAAATGTTTAATGATTAATACATATGTGTTTTCCTTTGACCTGGTCTATGTAGTTTTATAATTCAATTTCAATTTTTTTGTTTCGTTTTGAGTTACTCATTTTTACTTTGCGACTCTCTCCCGCGGGTCTACTTGAACAACTTGCCCTACAAAATTGGCATAGATTAGGTTGGAATGGTCGGAAAGTAGATTCTTCACACACATATGTACATATATTAAGGGGGTCCCTTCTACGTGCAAAATAGTCTCCACGAAAATTTCAAAATTTTGAACAAATCTTTAGGGCCCCCATATGATTTGGAAAAAATTGGTTTTTTTTTTTCAAATCGCAAAAATTCGACAAGCGTTTGAATTTTTCCAGCTATAGCTTAACGAGTTTATGCATTTATTTGCAAAAATTTAACAATTAAAAAATTTTGTAAAATATTTGCGATGTCAAAAAAATTTAATAATTTTCATATCTTGGTAGCGACCCTTAAAAAATTAAATTATTGAACATTCTGAAATTTTCGTGGATATCTTTAATATGTACAATACATATGTATAACAAAATAAAGTGGTGCCCCATACAAAATTTTATGCTGATATTTGAAGGAACACCCTAATGTAAAAGCTTAAGCCGATGTAGGCCCGTTGTGACACAATTTCGATATTGAAAAGTTCAGTCGAACACGAAACTGCTTGTTGATGCTCTGAACATTGCCAAAGCTCTTACTCCCACCTGTGAACGTTTGCAAGTCCCTGAAGTCATGGTTTGCCAAGCGTGCTTTATCTTTCTAAATCCAGGCAATGATTTAAAAGGTGTTGTGCACTTTCACATAGCATGAGACAAACAAGTTTCCTGTTATTAGAAGACAAATAATTCTGGAAGTTGTAAACAGCGAAAGATTGTTCCAGCGTGTGTTAGCTTCCAGATTGGTGGCATTGAATTCTATAGTGCGGGCCATCTACCTCAGACATCTACAAGGACTTTTGCATTGTCTATGGGCGAGCTTTAAGCTTTTAAGCTAGGACTACCCACTTATCGAGATTTAATATAAAGTGGAGGTTAATGCAATATCACAATTTGGGAATTCGTGAGCGTAGAGCAGAAGACCCACCCCGTCCCCATACATAAACACATAATTCTGCACTTCTCTGATTTGATTAATTAAGAATGTGTGAAGTGTGAATTTTCCTTTTATCCGGAATTTATTTCAGGTATTTTCAGGGGTTTCCAGCACTTTCTTCTGACCTCTTTAGTATTCTTTCGGTATTTACAGGATTTTGATTTATTAGTTTTGGAACTTTTTCGGGACATTTTGTGTATCGGTTTTCGAGAATTTTCTTAATTTTCTGGTATTTTACAGGCTTTGTTCTACACTGAGCCAAAAGCACAATGGTTTTTTCAAGCAAGTTATGGTTTGATTTTTTCGTGGTCAATAAGTCGATTGCCTGAAATGTGATTCAAGCTGAACATTTGAGAACAAATTCTTATGTATGGCAGTGGCAGACCGAGCAGAGGTGCTTGCTGTTATTTGTTGGATTTCAGCAGTACGAATGCTGTAAGCGCCATACATAATTTTTATTTTTTTCTGTTTTTGATTTTTCTTAATTATGAAAAAGCCTCTGTGAAGTGCAGAACCAAATCAAACGACGAAGAAAATTGATTCAAGTTTAACATTTGCAGACCCATTTATAAAGCGGCTGTGGCTGAGCGTGTGGAGATGCTTGCTGCTAATCCCGCCAGGGGCACCATGTTAAAATGATAATAAAAATTTTTGTTTTGTATCTCCGAACAATGAAAAAGCATCTGTGAAGTGCAGAACATGAACGTATTCAAACGAAAAAATCGACAACCAAAAGTTTGGTAAATGTAAACAAAATTGTGGTTAATATTACCAAATCATTGTTGAAAATATCAAGCCCTAACCGCCAAAATAACGTAAGCGACATTTTTTTCAAATTTTTTTTTTTGATGCAGAAATGCATCTGGATGCTCTA